GGGCAGTGTTTCATTCTGCTGTGCATAAGGTCGCTATGGGTCAGTACCGACTCGATGGCACCTAACAACAACAACTATTCAGCACTTCCCAGTCCAATGAGACTTGCTGGAAATAGCCCCATTTTCCTTTTTCCAGCAGACTCCCTGGTCGGCCACCAGGGGGCAGTGGCCTCCTCCTCGGCTCCCTGCCCAGGTCAGCTCAGGTGATGATGTGCTTAGATCTCCCATCAGAGATGTCTCTCCTGCAGAGGGACACGTCTCTTCTCTCTCACATCCAACATTTCCCAGTCTAGCACCCGGCCCACCTCCATGCTTGGTTGCTTGTTGCTGACTGTCCCAAAGAGGGCCTCCCGAAGTCTGCAATTGGCAATTGAAGGAATTCAATTGCAAAGAGGGCCAAGGCTGTACCCTCACCCAGAGGGAGAGTCCTTGAAGTGACACCCGGGTATTCGGGCCTCTTTCTGCATCTCCAAGAACCAACTCCCTCCATCCAGGAACAGGTGCATGGTAGGAAGTGGCCTCCTCTGGCTCACAAGGAGGCTGGAAAGCCTGTGGCTGAAGGAGGCGGATGTTCTGGAGTGCATCCTTCCCCCACATAACACAAGAACCCTGCCCGATTTGGCGAATTAATGCGGTTAATCCTGTTCTCCTTGAGACTGATTACTTTAGGGTGTGTATGTGACCTAGTAAGGAGCCCTGGCAGCACAGACCGAAAGATGTGGCAGTCTGCTTCCCTAAACAACCCTATCAGGCATTTCTGTGCTGCCCTGTAGAGTTGCTATGATTCGGAATTGACTTGATGACAATGTCTAGTTTGTTTTTAGTCTGGCCCAGTCTGGTAGCGAAGTGGTTATGAATGGGGCTGCTAATCTCACAGTCAGCAGTTCTAAACTACCAGCAGTTCTGACGGAGAAAGATGAGGCTTTCTGCTCCTGTAAAGATTTACAGCTTCAGAAACCCTATACAGGTCAGAACCAATTCCGACACATAACCACCACCACCACCACCACCAGTCTGGCCTAGGGAAGGAGTGGTCAGGTGGAGGAAGGGGGAGTCTAGAAGAGGATTTTCATGTTTAATAAAAGGACAAAGGGAAGGGATACCCTCATCTTGCACTGACTTTTGTCGTTGTTATTGTTGTTGTGACTGAAAATGATTCCTACACGGGGACAACTGATTGCAGCCATAGGAGGAAGAAGCCCAGGAAACCCCACTTGCAGAGGAGGGCAGAGCAAAGGACCTGAGTTTTCAATTACTTTATCAACTGAGCCTCAACTACCACACAGCTGTTTGAAAGGATACATCCGCCCCAGTTTGAGCCACTGTGAATTCGGTTTTCTCCTGCAAATAAGAGCTTAAATCCTTCCATGCTACGTGGACTTCTAGGTCCTGCTCTGCCTGGCTTCCCCATATCCTCTGACTCCTCTTGAAGCCTCTTCCTCTCAATTTTGCCTTCATTTTCGCTCATGTTGGTGCTCCTGGTCCCTTCCTGGGTCTTCAAGAAATGTTCAAGAAATGTCTAGAAATGTTCTCCATCCTCTCCCATAAGCCACCCTGTCCAGCTGATCCCTGTTCTTCCATCCTTCAAGGCTTAGCATCCCTGATCACCAAACCTCTGCCAACCCCACCCCCACTCCAATACACACACACACATGCACATCTCCATCCCATACTTCTTTTGAAGTTAGAATTTATGCTTTCCCCTGTGTTTGTAAGGAGGCCAGGTGGTGCTGTGGGCTAAGCATTGGGCTGCTAATAGAAAGGTCTGAGGTTCAAATCCACCAGCCACTCCACAGGAGAGAGCTCAGACTGTCTGCTCTTGTAAAGACAGAAAGTAGGGACCAGGTCTTTGCTGTCCTATAGGGTTGCTATGACGTGGAACTGACTCTGTGGAAGTGAGCCTTGTGCTTATCTGTGATGATTATTTACGGGGCTATAGCCAAGTCAGCTGCACCAATGAGTGACTGTTCAGTGCCTAATGTAGTGTCATACACAGATCCATCTTTAAATACCTGCTAAATGAATGACTGAATTCTCTGAGTCCTGCAAATCGTTCATTGTTGTAGTTAAGTGCTGTTGAATCAGTTCCTTTATAGGGTTTCTGAGGTGCAGCTGGTGAGT